ATACCACTAATAGTTTTGCTTTTGTATTTCAGGCTTCATCTAAAGACTATTTTCAGAAAAATCAGTAAAATTCTCTAATGAAATTTAAGCAACTATAAATGCATAGAGATTTTTTTAAAAATGTTGCATTCTCTAGAACTGCAGCAGCAATTACACAATAAAATATTTTATGGAATATAAATGTATGACTAAGAAGAACAGTAGATGAGAAAGCTGACATTTACCTACTGCAAATTGGTCACATATATAAAATGCTGCTACTCCCAGACTACTGAGACTGCCTCCTTCCATTTACTGTGCATATCCTTCAGAGTTAACAACTGAGAACAGTTTCCCCATGATGAAAATGAGCATGGTTCTCTTTGTAAATCTTTTTATAGGCTAGTCACTTACTTTCTGTAACAAGCATGAAAGCGTAAAATTAAATGTTACAATTAGATCTTTTAAGAAATGTTTTAAAACATACTAACATACTCGTAAATAAACCCTGAACAGCACTCTAATATAACAGTAATTTTGTTTGGTGGGTTATCTTTGTCTTATTTGAGATTCGAAAGTTAAATTTATTCTTGACCACACAGCATGAACCTCTTCCTCTTCTAGATGGGAATTTTGCTCATTGTCTCACACAAATGGCTTCTTCTGGCTACCCCATAACTGATCACTGATAATATCAGGTCTAACTGCTCTAGTATATGTTGGTTTGAATACAGATTTTATTCTATTGATGTCCTGTAGTTCATCTTGCAAATGAGAAAAAGGGAATTACAAAACAGTAATATCTGTCTTTGAAAGGCAAAAATACAAAGTAGAGATTAAGGAGTTAATACAAACGTTATTTTTGGCCCTCAATTTCTTTATTTGTGAAGACTGGAAACCATTCAGTGTTTTCTCTGAATTCAAACAAAACAAAAGCTCTTTTTTGGCATCTATACCTGTACTATATGAAGAGTGGTGGAGGTCATGTATTGAAAAGATGATGCTATGCAAATTAAATGAGAGGATTTGGGAGAGTTCTGTTTTGCTGTTTGTCCCCCTATTTGCTTTTCAAGCACTGATGCACACAGAATAAAACAGAATCCAGAGCATCTTTAATCCTACTGTTACTTATCCTCATCCCTCCACAGCAATTAACAATTCGGCAGTACTCCGTATAAAACAGGATACAGCTGAGAGAACAGCTATATTCTGTGATTAAAGTCTTACATATATGCTAACTGAAAATCCTTTCAGCATGCAATGTTCCCTTTTAAATTCTACCTGGCAAAAGCTTAGATTCAAAGAGTATGATGTTTATAGAAGCTTCCAGTCTTACCTGTATAGTTCTCCTTAGATGATAAAATAAAGAGAAGCCCTTTTTTTCCTTCCATGAATATAAGCCTATCCCCGTTATTTTAGTGAAAATATCAAGTGAGCTCTTACCACAGGATTTATTAGAAATTAACTCAAAAATTATTGAGAGCAAATCCTTCTGTTTCAGTAGCTAATGGATATTGAGTGTTTTACCCACAATGCCATAGCTTTTGCCATTTAAACTGCAGGACCTTCAACTGATCCTGAGCTTTTGGGTATGACTACATGTCCCAGCTGCCTTGACTTTGTGTCAAGTTTTTTATATTAAAGAATAATTAGACTTTCTCAATGTATGTACTCTTAAATAGAGCAAATTTAAGACAACTGAAAATGAAAGGTTTTCTTAAATACCTTTGAAGTTAAGATTTTTCACAAGTTAAGAGTTTTCAGAGTTTTCAGTTAAGAGTTTTCAGAACTGCTCTTTCAGTCAGCTAGAAAATACAAGCTATTATACTGTAGAAACATATATATAAAGCCTTAAATATACTACATTAATTGACATAAGAAGTAAATGTAGTTAAAATTTTATGTCCTTTTTTTAAAGACACATATTCCACAGACTGCATTATTTCTTTTTGCAGAAAAAAAGGCAACATAGGTCTTGAGCTACACCAATAATTAAATGTTTCAATATATATTATTTTAATTGTGAATTAAATATCAGTTAAATAACAGTACAAAATTACTTTCAGTTGTCCATCTTTTTTTTCTTGTATTGTCTTGAACTAAAACAACACGGGACTGCTTACTGTAGTTTATATGATACCCACTGTTTTCTCTAAACTAAATTCAAAACAAAGATATGACAAAAAAAGATCTTTATTTTATTGTGTCTTTTTTTTTCTTGTAACTTTTGTTTTGTCAACAACTTACACATCTAATTCCAGATCAAGTTCTTAGCCCTTCCATTTACAGATTCAACCTAAGGGCTGAACATCAATTAGATCCAATGTTTCTAAATGTATCATTCTATGATTAAAATGAGGCAGCTTTCACAAAAGCCCTAATGCCTTCACCTGTCTCATGCATTCATCAGAGATATGGATTAGACAAACTTTAGAATTCACATCCAACTAAGAGCATCCTATGATTTTATCATTAGGTTCACATACATTTTATAAGGAAAATCTGTTTTTCTGAATACTGGTTTAATTTTGCTTCCCAAAGGAATATGGGATTCCACAGCAAGACTAATCTGGGAAAGTTCATAGACATACTTTGCTCTCCTGATACACCAAAAAACCAGTAAATTTTTTAATCTGAAAAGATGACTAATTGTCTTAGATAAGGGATGTATATTAGGAAACCTTACTTCAGTTATCCCTGAAACAGGAACGATCATCTTATTTTGCCTGTTTGACTTCGTCAATTTTGCAAGCAACTGCCATACGTGTATACAGCTTAGAATCATGGAACCACAGAGTCATTCAGGTTGGAAATGATCTCCAAGATCACAGAGTCCATCTGTCAGAACACTTTACGGAGTTCTACTTAGAGACAAAAATTGTATTCTTATAACTTCTGCTGTAAGAACTTCTGTTTTAAGAAATTTTGTATTGTCACAAAAATGGTTGAAATTTTGGTAATGATACTAAGCTCACTTTCGTATTTCTCAAGCCCCCTGGCCTTCGGCCTTGTAAAGAAACCATATTCAAATTTCAGTCTTGCAATAAAATGTAGCATTTGGAAAAGCCCTGTGTTTTGCTTGCCTTGAAATTCTGTCAAGATAGGATTAGTGCTAATTCTCATACCCATAGGAACCTTTTTCCTTCTCTTTTATATAACTAGGCACAAGCAATCTTGACCTCTTGGCAGCATAAATCTTCAAGAAGAGTTCAATCCTAACTAAAAATAATTCCATTTTTTTGAAGCAAAAAAAATTGTCTCTAGATTTTTTTCAGTGTTTTAGCACAGGAATACAAAAAAAACAGAACGTGTTTGAACAAACACACACCAAGGACAAAAATAACTGTCTCAGCTGAAACAACTTCCAGCAGAGAAAATGCTAATCTTGTTCTGGTAAAAACTGAGGGCAATGATACCATATTAAAAGACTAACACTGGAGAATCGTGTGCCTGCTATTCACAGAGAGATTCTTTTAGGCTCATTATCTTAATTTCACTTAAAGCCCACTGTTAAGGAAATATTCTCATATTCATGCTGGAGATGCAGAAGTTATTGCTAGTGAATACTGCAACAACATTAGAGTTACTTTATATGTCTTATTAAAGGGGCCACATTAACCATAGAGTGCTTTGTCTTCCAGTGCTTTTCATTCTGTCTGACAATGTGAGCAAATGACAGATTTATCTACTTATTTAAAGATACTACTTGAAATTGTAAATTAATGGCCTTAAAAACATCAAGACACTATTATTTTGCAGAGGGGTTACAGCACAGAAAGTATTTAATTATATATATTCAATTGATATTTAATTATAAAATCAATTATATTGCTGAAGACCAAAAGAAGTGACCTAAATGAGTGTTTCAGAGCTTTTTTTAATTGACTTGTATGCCTGCATAAAGCTTGACATTTATAGTAGTCATCTCTATTCATTATTAAAAGAAGATTAACTTGTTTTTTAAACTAGGAAAAAATTAGTTTTGGCAGTATCTACAGTTTATAATGGAAACAGTTATACTCTCTTGCACATCAAAAATTTGGAACAGCACATCAAACTATAGTGAAATACCAACGTTAACATAACACAGGAAGGCAAAGTTGGTTTATTTTATCGGTATAAGGTTGCTGCAGGAAAAACCCCCAATCTTTAAAAACTAATTTTGCTCTATTTTCAATGATATTTGTGCATAAAGATTTTAGCTTACTCATAAAAAGTTTTACTATACAGAAAGAACAAAAAATTGCATTTAACAGAGATCAGTCTAAAAAAAGAAACAAATGCAGATCTCCAGGCACGCTTTTCTTGGCAAATTCAGGTCCACGGTGGCCTAAAACCTCATGCTATGACAGCTCTTTATTCAGAAGTACCAAAGATGCTATCGTGTTTTGTTTAACAACAACCTTCCAGTATCACCTGGAAGCCACAGAAACACAAATTTGCTCAGCCACCATTTTTTTCCCTCCAGTTTGTTCCAGCTGCAACAATGGTGAAGGAGGAGTACAAAGCAACTTCATTTTCTAGCAGCCTATTCTCATGCGTGGTCCAAAAGGAAGCTGATTTATTCCTGTCAAGCACTTTTCAAACTGACTCATTTATAAAATACAGCCTTTACTAATAGTTCCATAGTGGAACTACTTGCTCCTATGACCAGTAACAATGACTTTAAAGTTTCAATTTTTTCTATCACACTTTGTTTTCTTGAATATTCAGTTGAAAACACTGAAAAGCAAGGAATGAATTTTTCTTTGCCTTAAATACAGTCATAAGCACCTCAAGGAGTATTAAAGCAAAAAAGAGAACAGCAGTAAATCATACTATAACAGTTCATTTGAAAAACACTTGTATTTTACTATAGGTACAATATCAAAACCCTTGGCTAAGAACACCTTGAACAAAATAAAGCTGGTTTTATTCAAGAATAATCAGTGTTTCTGGTAACTGTAATCTTCTGTGAGGAAAATCTTACTTCCTTCTGGAAATGAGCTGTTAAAAATATCACATGAATTAACATCACTCACCTCTCCTATCACTTCTGGCTGCATTTGTGGATTTGTCAAAAGGGCAAGGGCAACGTCCTTCACATTTCACTGAGATTTGTTTTCCTGAGACACAGGCTTGATACTCTAATTTGCACTGTAAGGAGAGAGAACGACTATCATTAACAGAAACATAAACCAGAAAATAATAACTTTAGGAATTTTGAAGCAATTTTTCATTGTGCTTAAATCTTTGCAGACAAAGGTGCTAGGAAAAGTTTTCTGCAGTATATGCTACCTTCCTACCGAAAACTGGATTAGATAAAAGTACAAAGTTTCTGGTCCCTAACCTTACAGTTTCAGACTTAATTCAAGCATGAATGCATGTATGGTGTGAGACTAATTTGAATGTGCATGCTAAATGGAAGTAGAATGCATTTGTTTTATTTGTATTATATGAGCAAATAAACACCGTAACAATATTAATTACTGATACAAAACAATTAATAGTGAATTGTTAAAAACTTTATAATTTAATTTCTGTCTTTAAGATGACAATATCCTAGTAAAAAGCATTAATGAATAAAATGGAAAGCTGTGCCTGATGTAATTCTGCATGGTGACTGTCTTTTCCGATATGGAAACAGATTGATTTCTGTGGTTCTGATCTGTATGCTTACCACTCCAATCCAGAAACCATATAAAAATTAACCACATCTAACCAAGAAATGGAACTGTTGTGTCGAACACACAAAAACAATGTTGCTAAAAAAATACATACAGAGAAACTAACATCATTGCACACTGTCATTCTTATTGAAAAGCTGAACTTTTATTCCAAAAGAACAGTTCCTTACATAGAGGTCTTTTCCCTGTTATTTTTTGCCAATGTATTATCAGGAAAAACACAAAGCCAAAAACAAAGTGGGGGGAAAAAAGCATGTAAAAAGAGCTTTTTTAAAAATTAAAAGGAGAAAGATGGTTACAGAGAACACTTCATCCTTGAACAAAAGACGGAAGATGTCTCATTAGTCAGGTAAAGGACACAGAAATATATGAGTCAGAAAACCAGTTCAAGTAACAAGTAAGAAATGTTTTCTATGCATCACAACATTTTAGAAGAATAATCTCACCAGTCTGTATCTTTTATTCTCTGACTCATCTTTCCTTAGGGTTATCTAACTTCAGTTTAATGCAGTTCCATTATAAAATTATCAGGTTTTCCAGCAAGCCATTGAATCAAAGTTTCTCCCTGTCCTAAAAATACGTAAAGGATGAGAGCACTCTAGCCATGTAAAAATCAAGAAGCTTCCTGACAGGCTGCACTTGAGGTTTCCACTAGTTTGCAGATATAAGCACTGGGAATTTACAGAACTTCATCAACCTTTCATGCAGTCATACTTCTAACCCTGCCACACACTCATGCAGTTCTCTGCCTAGCATAAGCTGAGCTGCATCACTGTATTGAAATAACAACTTTCTGCACCACTGCCAGTACCAAAAAGAAGACAGAAAAGGATATCTCACATTTTGTGTATTTCCATAAAATCATTGTTATACTTCAGTTTTTGCTGAAGTATACTTTACTTTTTGCCTAAAAGACACCGTTGTAATAAAACGACACTGAAAAAAACCTTTTAATTGCACTAAACCCCCCAAAAACCAAACACACCCCCAAAAAAACTCCAAACCAACCAAACAGAAAACAATACCAAAAAAAAAAAAAAAAAAAAAAAAAA